TTTGGCCCGTCTATCACCAACATAGGCCAATCAGCTAACCAGTATTTTCGCCCCTTCCCAAAATTACTTCAACAGAAGGTTTCCAGATGGATATGTGGAGCAAATCCATCTGGCGGAGTCAGGTTAGCGATCATTACCTCAACACGGTGCTGAAAACACTATTGAAGGACTTACTTTTTGGTGTTTTTTGAATCGTATGGCGATCTGACCTAAAATTGTTTTGGTACACGACTAAAGAGTTAAACGCAAATCTAGCGTCTTGCGTATTGACTATGGGTATGCTGGTCTGACAGAGCACCGACCGCAGCATCATTTCATTGGTTCCGCTATCGGGACGGAAGCAATAATGGTTCCAGCGAGTCGGTCAGTAAATGGGGATTAAAAATTCTGGTCAATTGTTTGATACAGATTAGACTGAAACAATGAATGATTCTATTATTGAAATAATCGTCAAATTATTTAGTAATGAATTAATGAGAGCAGGGATTATACCAGGATTTTAAAAATATGCATCTAAATATTTTGTTTTTAAGATAAAAAACAAATATTTTGGTCTGTCTGTCTTCAGCTCTATCCAGAACTCCTTAAGTGGACAAGTTTTAGTTCCACCTGACTTTATTTCTTAAAAATAATCAACAGATTAATCAATTTGCAAACTAATCTTTAGTTGTGGCTCTGGTTTATTTTCTATGTCATAGATTTCTGAAAAACAAACTAAAGCATGTATTTTGGGGGAGATGCACCGATTGCTAAACATCGTCTGTTTTTTTCACAGAATCTCAGCGTCTCTCTGGGAGGAAACATGGAGGTGATAAAGGCAGTCTGAGCTCACCCTCCTCGTCTTCGTCATCATCCACTGGATTAATGACCACCGGTGGATGAGTCGGACTCGGTACCGGCTCCTGGCTTTCTGTCTTGATGACTCCTCGGAGCTGAGGATTGGCTGTGTTGGCGGGGGGAAGAGGAGGAGCAGATGAAGGAGGCGCCGGCTCCTCTTCCGGCTGCTCCTCGCTTTTACTCTGAACTGGAACAAAATCCCAGCAGTTAGAGGTTTTCCCAGCTTGATGCCCCCCGTTTTAATAAAAAAAAAAAAAAGAAAATCCGGGCTTACTTTTATCTGGAGGGACGAAGATGCCCTCTACAAAGCGAGGTCGCTCATGAAAGAAGGCGCAGTGCGGCTTCTGGCAGCCCGCCGGCTGCTTCTCCCAGTAACAAGGAATCTCCTTTCGGTTTTTCTGTTTGTTCAAAAACAGAAATATGGTGAACAGAGAAACAGGACAGGTTTGGATCAGCAAGCATGAAGAGTTTCACAGGCTGCTGGTGAGGATTCTCAGTAAGTCAATCCCAAAAAACATCAACAACAATCCACTGGACTTTGTTTTAAAGTTTGAAGACTTTCTCTTCCATCCGAGAAGAGTTTTCATTCAATGAAGGACCAGAATGTTCACATGTTGGACAAAGAAGACAGGTGGTTTGAGAGGAGCGTGAAGGAAGCCATCTATGTTAAGAAAGAAAAAACAACCTTAAACAGAGGAGGGGGGGGGGAGGCTTTAAAAAACCTACAAAGCAGCAATAGAGTTGATTCCTTCCCGCTATCATCGCAGCCCCTTTACAGGAGAACAGGAGACCTTACCTGTTCAGCCAGGCCAACAATTCCCTTTAACAACCCCCCTTTCAGAGACATAGACAGGTATGGGGCATTGCAGGCTAACTTTAGCTACGTTCACAATAGGGATGCAGGATATAATGGGCCCCCTATCGGTATCGGCCTTAAAACTGAATATCGGACATCGGCCACCCCACCGATATTTAACCC